GGCCCACTTGGAGTACACATTCAATGTCTATGCTTCATAAAAAATTTAAGCAAGCAAGACGTCATACTCATTGAAAGTTTGAGAATAGGTTGAAGACGTTTCGTCCCACAATTCCTCTAATCATTCGCTTTACCGAATATAACTGCTTTATTTAACGTACTCCAGCTATCCTGAGGGAAACTTCAGAGGGAACCAGCTACTAGATAGTTCGATTAGTCTTTCGCCCCTATACCAAAGTCAGACGATCGATTTGCACGTCAGAATCGCTTCGGACCTTCACCAGAGTTTCCTCTGGCTTCATCCTGCTCAGGTATAGTTCACCATCTTTCGGGTCCCAGCATATACGCTCTACCTCCGCCCTATTGCATGCAACATGAACGGGGTTATGTTACGCTACATATACATATATATATATATATATATATATATAGATCACATATCAATTATACCAAAGATAATCTTTACTTTCATTATGCTTTTTATCTTTTAAATTAGGTTTACTACCCAATAACTTGCGTATATGCTAGACTCCTTGGTCCGTGTTTCAAGACGGGTCAGATAGGTGATTAACGTTCACATCGAGATGTAACTTTATTGCATACAATATTATAATATTACCAATTATTTTTACCGATAAAGTCGCATGCGACCACATGTAAAATAATAATAAGCAAAATTATAATCGATACATGTCACTATTATTTCAAGTGAAAGTTACATATATGGGAAAAAAAAAAGCTAAAACTTCAGCTACTAAGTTCATATTTCATACCATCAGAATCGCTTCGGACCTTCACCAGAGTTTCCTCTGGCTTCATCCTGGTATAGTTCCAGCATATATCTAATTGCATGCAACATAATATGGTCATATACATATATATATATATATATATATATATAGATCACATATCAATTATGATAATCTTTACTTTCATTATGCTTTTTATCTTTTAAATTAGGTACTACCCAATAACTTGCGTATATGCATCAAGACGGGTCATAGGTATTAACGTTCACATCGAGATGTAACTTTATTGCATACAATATTATAATGCATTTTTATATTGCTAATAATAATAAGCAAAATTAATATACATGTTATTATTCAAGTGAAAGTTACATAATAAAAAAATCTAAGACATATTTCAACATAATTTGATTCCAATTATCAATTGAAATAATTGGTCCACTAAATTAACTTGTATTAATATGCTAAAATGAAGTTCTCGATGCATACCATGTAAATACAATCTATGCATATAGTTTCGTTAACTCTATCTAAATTAATTGGTTGAATTTCGTTAATCTCAGCGGTTTCACGCCCTCTTGAACTCTCTCTTCAAAGTTCTTTGCAACTTTCCCTCACGGTACTTGTTTGCTATCGGTCTCATGGTCGTATTTAGCCTTAGATGAGGTTTACCACCCTCTTTGGGCTGCAATCTCAAACAACCCGACTCCAAGGAATAACCTACCGTAACTTTTTCACCCGTACAGGTCTAGCACCTTCTATGGACTGTAGCCCCGCTCAAGGGGACTTTGGGTGTAAAAATATGTTACGGATAGTTATACCTATACGCTACATTTCCATATAGCCATATAATATCTATTGGATTCAGCGTTGGGCTTTTTCCTTTTCACTCGCCGTTACTAGGGAAATCCTCGTTAGTTTCTTTTCCTCCGCTTAGTTATATGCTTAAATTCAGCGGGTAATCACGACTGAGTTGAGGTCAAAGAAATGATATAAAACATATTGAAATTATCATTCACATATATATGCTAATTTTTTTACTCTATTTATTTGTTTATTTTAATGTTTCAAATATAACTTGCATTTTAATTTGAAACATTTAACAACGAAACAAACAAACAAACAATATAGTAAATCAATGCATAATAAATGAATAATTATAATCTTTCTTTATTATTTATAAATAATTATTCATGAAAGATTATTTTTTAATATATATATATTCAATATGTTAAATATGGTAAAAATATTACTCATATCTATTACTTATCAGGGGATTTATTTTGAGATTTTTTCATTCTCATTCTCTGTTACAAATCACCTGATGCATTTTTGTATCTAATCATTGATTCAATCATCTTTTTTCATTCATCATCATCAAATAATCTTTTAACAAACAAACAAAAATTATTTGATAATAATAAATAAATATAAATCAATGCAAATACAATTATTACTTTTAATTGACCCTCAACCAGACGTACCATCGGGAATCAACCCAATGGTGCAATGTGCATTCGAAATCTTTGTGCTCAATGCGTCTGCAATTCGCACTATTTATCGCAGCTAGCTGCGTTCTTCATCGATCCATGAGCCAAGTGATCCACCGCTAAGAGTTAAAAATTTATTACTATAATATATATAATTTGTGTATGTTTTTTTTTTTTTTTTTTTTTGTTGGTAGCATATCTAGCATAAATGCTTATTAAGTCTACTTAATTAAATGATAAAATTAATTAAGCTATCGCTTTATCTTCATTGTTATCGACGGTTAGGCGATAACTTGGATAAAGTATAGACACCAACGAATATCACCGTTTATTCATATTATTACTATTATTATTTAAGCTACTACCATATTAAAATCAATCTATTAGGGTAACACACATACAACAATATGTTGTTAATATAGTATCATAATATAATATGGTAGCTATAGTAATAGTAATAAATCAATCAATCATTGTTGTGTTATTTTTTTTTTTGAAGCACGATAATGATCCTTCCGCAGGTTCACCTACGGAAACCTTGTTACGACTTTTGCCCGGTTCAAGCCACTGCGATTAAAGCAGTTTCCACCAAAGAATCTCTACCCTTGAAAAGGTATTGAAACAGCAGTCTCCGCTTTTCTCGAAACGGCTCAGTCCCGGGCAGCGACGGGCGGTGTGTACAAAGGGCAGGGACGTAATCAACGTGAGCTGATGACTCACACTTACTAGGAATTCCTCGTTCAAGGGAAATAATTGCAATTCCCGATCCCGATCACGGAGGATTTTCAAGGGGTTACCAATACCTTTCGGTAATGGTTACAGCACGCTGATTCCTCCAGTGTAGCGCGCGTGCAGCCCTGGACATCTAAGGGCATCACAGACCTGTTATTGCTCAACTTCATGCGGCTAAACACCGCTTGTCCCTCTAAGAAGTTGTCTGGACGATAAAATTATCCAGTAACTATTTAGTAGGCTAGAGTCTCGCTCGTTATCGGAATAAACCAGACAAATCACTCCACCAACTAAGAACGGCCATGCACCACCAACCACCGAATCATGAAAGAGCTCTCAATCTGTCAATCCTCACGGTGTCCGGGCCAGGTGAGTTTTCCCGTGTTGAGTCAAATTAAGCCGCAGGCTCCACTCCTGGTGGTGCCCTTCCGTCAATTTCTTTAAGTTTCAGCTTTGCAACCATACTTCCCCCGGAACCGAAAAACTTTCGTTTCCGGGAAGCTGCCCGTCAAGGCGTATTTACCGCCGACGGAACGCTAGTTGGTATCGTTTACGGTCAGAACTAGGGCGGTATCTGATCGCCTTCGAACCTCTGACTTTCGTTCTTGATTAATGAAGACATTCTTGGCAAATGCTTTCGCAGTCGTACGTCTCGCTACGGTCCAAGAATTTCACCTCTCACGCAGCGATACGAATGCCCCCGTCCGTCCCTCTTAACCATTATCTCAGATCAGAAAACCAACAAAATAGAACCGAGATCCTATTTCATTATTCCATGCACGAGTATTCAGGCATTAGCCCGCATTGAGCACTCTAATTTTTCAAGGTAAACTTGCTAGCCACCATATGCAACCAATTAAGGTAACGTATGGAAAAACTGGCAATATTAGCCTAGGAGCCTAGTTCTCATCCAATGGATGGACCAGGTCCTGAGACGCAGATCCAACTACGAGCTTTTTAACCGCAGCAATGACGATATACACTTTGAGAGCTGGAATTACCGCGGCTGCTGGCACCAGACTTGCCCTCTCATAGATCCTCGTTAACAGGTTTAAATTGTACCCATTCCGATAACCGGCCTCAAAGAGAACGGTCTCGTTATTTTTCGTCACTACCTCCTCATTCTGAGAGTGGGTAATTTGCGCGCCTGCTGCCTTCCTTGGATGTGGTAGCCGTTTCTCAGGCTCCCTCTCCGGAGTCGAACCCTTATTCTCCGTTACCCGTTACAACCATGGTAGGCACATAAACTACCATCGAAAGTTGATAAGGCAGACACTTGATAGATACGTCGCCGGTACAAGACCATGCGATCAGCCATAGCTATTCAGAGTCACCAATTAACGGATTAAAATTAATAATCCGATTGGTTTTAATCTAATAGATGCGCTCGTTTAAAATTCGGAGCTTTGGTGCATGTATTAGCTCTAGAATTGCCACAGTTATCCACGTTAGATAATCAACATCAAGTACATTATAGCTGTTATAATGAGCCGTTCGCGGTTTCACCATTATAGGTTTATTTGAACTTAGACATGCATGGCTTAGCCTTTGAGACAAGCATATAACCGCCGACAGAATCAATCGGGGAGATGTATGAAAAAAAGAATAAGAAAACATACACAAACATTATGCATTATATCTTAAATATATCATGCATAAAAATTGTTATACTATGTTTTCTTTCATTCATTCATTCATCTATTATTTCAAAATTTCATTCATACATGATTTTCTTCGCTTATTAGCAAAATTTAAATTTCCATTTTACAATACAATAAAATTCCAATAACATACTTCCCAATAGTACAACGGAGCATTTCACATATATGCTATCATATTATGATTGCATTATCATTATATATATATATCAAGGTATACATATAACAACAAATTCGTTGTTTTAAATGTAGCCATGATTGATGTTACTATTCAATTGCTCGTCTGTTGAAACTTTCGTTTCACGAGACAATTCATTGCTCAAGTTAGACGATCATTGTCATCTAACAATAATACCAATTCTGCTCTCTATAAGTATAACAGAAAAAAAAAAAATTAAAAAATTAATAATTTATAGTATATAAAAATATTACAAAAATACTTTTAGAATATTTCTTTGTTCTATTACTAATTGTTTTTTTTTTTTTTTGGATATATGTACATATATATATATATATATATATATATATATATATACTATAAATTAATCTTTTATATTGTTATCTATATATATATATATATATACTATAAATTAATCTTTTATATTGTTATCTATATATATATATATATATATATATATATGTATATAGATAACAATAAAAGATTAATTTATAGTATATATAAATAAAAAAAAACAAATCGTCCAATCAAAGGATAAGTCTCAACAGATCGCAGTATGGAGGCTGCTCTACTGCTTACAACACCTTGACCAGTAATCAAGTCGTCTGCAAGTGATCTTGCGCCCCGACATTGTACCAGAGTAATCCGGTTTTGGCAACCATTTAACCATTCGATTAAATAGCAAGGCCATATAATGGGGCATTAGCTGTAATAGTATGAATATGTTCATAATTACATAATAGTGCCTCCCAACACCAGGGAGCAAATTTATCGTTGCCTTGTCTAGGTGGGATTCTGACTTAGAGGCGTTCAGTCATAATCCCTCAGATGGTAGCTTCGCACCATTGGCCGATCGGCCAAGCACATGAACCAAATGTCTGAACCTGCGGTTCCTCTCGTACTGAGCAGGATTACTATCGCAACAACATATCACAGTAGGGTAAAACTAACCTGTCTCACGACGGTCTAAACCCAGCTCACGTTCCCTATTGGTGGGTGAACAATCCAACGCTTGGCGAATTCTGCTTCGCAATGATAGGAAGAGCCGACATCGAAGGATCAAAAAGCAACGTCGCTATGAACGCTTGGCTGCCACAAGCCAGTTATCCCTGTGGTAACTTTTCTGACACCTCTTGCTAGAAACCTTCTAAAAAAATTCAAAAGGATCGATAGGCCACGCTTTCGCGGTCTGTATTCGTACTGGAAATCAAGATCAAGCGAGCTTTTGCCCTTTTACTCTACGAGAGGTTTCCGTCCTCTCTGAGCTAGCCTTAGGACACCTGCGTTACGTTTTGACAGATGTACCGCCCCAGTCAAACTCCCCGCCTGACACTGTCTTCGGTGCGAGTCGTTAAATCACCGAGTGATTTAACTTAAATCAAAAATTTCGAAACACATATAATATTTCAATTCTCGTTTTACCGAATAAGTAAAGAATCGATGAAAGTAGTGGTATTTCACTGTTGGTATTTGTATAATAAATACAAAAAAAACCTCCCACTTATGCTACACCTCTCATGACTCTTCACAGAGTCGGACTAGAGTCAAGCTCAACAGGGTCTTCTTTCCCCGCTGTGTTTGCCAAGCCCGTTCCCTTGGCTGTGGTTTCGCTAGATAGTAGATAGGGACAGTGGAAATCTCGTTAATCCATATGTTTTCAAATTTTATTACATGTTATAAATTACTTTCGTTTATTCAGTAATGAAATTTGAATGAGTGCTAGTCTTCAATGCTTGCTAAGTTTTCATGTAGATTTTGGCAAAACTTTAGTATAGCGATTGAATAAGCAAAATTATTACATTGTTTTCAATTACTTTCATTGCGGTTGATTCCCATTAATATAGCAGTAGTGTAAAATTAATGGGTAAGTTTTTTATACATTTTTGCTTCATTTATCACTATTCCGAAGACTTTTAATGTTTTAGAAGAAAGTTAAGCAACATCTAGTTTTGATTGCTAGAAAAATTGGAACGAAGATGAAAATCTTGTAGGCAAGTTTTAAGTCATGCTGTTTATATCACTTACATGCCTTTCATCGTTGAGATTCTTCTGCATTTGCTTGGGTAATTTACACTTGCAAAATTTTCTACAACGTTAAATCATATTGAAAGGAAGTTTTTTTATTTCTGGACAATATTATGGAAGATAGCTCCAAAGACTGACCAAAAAATTACTCCGCCAAGTATTCTAATACAAGTTTTGAATTGTTGCAGCAAGGTAAAGGTACAAAATATTAATGGTTTTTGTACATTTCTCCTGCATGCCAATGATTTGATGTATTTGACAATGCAAAAAATGGATGACTTACGTCAAATAATCAATTCAAAATTTTACCAAAACCTTTTACACATCTGATATGTATAACAAAATCATTGCAAGTCCTAGACAAGTTATTCTAATTTAATACCATATAAAAGGAACATTATTTTTAGTGGCATATCAGCTTCGTTTTCTTTAAATTATGGTGGATTGGAAAGACAGGATTCATGCAGCATGAAACATGATATTTCTGAATCTAGTAAAACCAAAACATTAACCAGTCAAAATTTCTTAACGCAT